AGATGCATCATGTAAAGGTACAAGTTCCCAATGAGAAATGTAATTGTGTTGTATACCTACAATGTACCAATAAAAGAATTTAAGAGAAAAATAATAATTAAAAATTCTTCAGAATAATAAGAAAGAAGCAACTAAAGTACAGAGTCAGTGAAATAATAAGACACTAAGAGTGCTTTTAATATGGAATATTAAAATATTTTTCCTTGTGGATCATATCAGAATCAATATGATGAAAATGGGATATCAGTAGTTAATTTTTGATGTCATTTGTTATAAAGGTATTAATAAATCTCCAGAAAAATCTTACATATCCACATATTTATCAGCTACGTTGTCATTCTTTCTACATCATGAGGATTTCCAGGATTCCTTTATCATTCGAAGATGGACTCCTACCTGACTTTACTAAACAATTAATATGCTGTTCCATTAGGAGAAAACATGAATATCACTGTCCCTTCCCTGCTTTCTCTCAAACTTATGCTGAGAGAAACTATCTTACTTGAAAACAAATGGCTGCCCTTGTTTGAAATATCACATCGTGAAATGGTCCAATAGCATAATTTGACTGTATCCTAATGAATTCTACTTGAGATATGACCTTAGGGAACATTATAAATTCGGCAATGTGGCATAAATGTTTTTATATTTTTGTATTTTTACAGTTAAGTAAAGCCACATTAGTTTTGAGCTACGTATTTCCTATTGCATGTTAATAAAGTGTTTAAAGGTAATTCAATATTTTCCCAAGGTGCATTTGAAAAGTCTGCTATAATTAAAATGAAAATCATTTAGTCTTGCTATTCGTAAAAATGCCATTTGTAAAATTACGGATACAAAATTAAGGCTATCATGCTTTAAACTGCAATGCAATTAAGCACACTCTTACACAGAGAAAACAGAAAGTGTATCAATAAACCTAAATGCCAAATTACGTTGAAACAAAAGTCCTGATTTTTTACTTCGGATTTGTCCCAGAAGCTTCTAAATAGAAAAGAAAGAGAGGTGATGAAGAAGAGAAACAGAACATTAAAAACTACAGTGTCTGCCGTAAATTCTGCAGGGAAATGAGAGTATGCTATCTTCCATTTCAGGGTGGGTTTCTGCAGGACTAATGAGATGAGAAGAGTCGATCCAGGCGGTGAGCCACATCAGACAATGGTGTAACTAACACGCCCTTGAGCTAAGCACAATGGTCTATGCAAAGTCATTCTCAGGCCGAAGGCTCAGCACAGTGGAAAGTGCTTTGCGGTTTGTACAGATTATTTTCCGAGTGAAAATATAGACTTAGTCGCAGAAAGAGAAACAACTCTTGTGATTATGCATTATATATATTTATTATTTTAATCTATTCCTGACACTTCTCATATAGTTACATGTTAAAGATTTTAAAATAAAAATATGTACCATGTCCTCATTTTAATGGGAAAAAGAGGGAATTGTTTAAAAAGTGAATTATGTTTATTATAAAGGTTCTATTTTACACTTTTCCTATTATGGAATATGAATCAGTTCCAAGTTTACAAGAAATGTGTACTTTTGGTTGATTTATAGAAGGGACTGACTATGTGTATCTATGGAGATGTATATCCCAGCATTAGTTATGATTTATAATGATGGATCTGATTTTAATTCGATTCGTAAACTAATATAAGAAATACTTTCCCAGGAAGATTGCATAGGAAACCACTGTAAGCTTCAAACTCATTTCCATAGAAAGATATCTGCCAAGGCCCTTCTCGACTCCGGTGCTCAAATGTAGCAACGACTTGCAGCGTGTGCTGAGCTGATTCCAGCGCCCAAAGGAGAAAGGACTTACCAGACATTCTCCGGTGAAGTCATCGCAGGAGTCCGCATGGCCAAAGCATTGACATGGTTCACAGATGCCACCAAAAATTGTGCCGTTAACTCTTCTATGCCCAGGCCAACACGACTGAAAGAGAGATAAAGCTGCTTTCAGTCTTGGGTATTAAAGGAAAAGTTTTGGGGTTTTTTCTGGTAATAGAAAATAACAGGTAGCCAACTCAGTAAATGTGCTTTGTCAAAGCTTAGCCATTACTGAAGCATTGCTACTGACCTTGGTATTATGGGCAGGTGTGAGACTAGAGGAAGCATTAGCTTGGTGTTTCTTCTGAAAGAGTAAAATAAAGCACAGATATAAAGAATTGAAATGTGACAGTCTCAAAGTAAAAAGCAGACAGGAAAATGGAAGAAAAAGAACTGAAAACAGCAGTAGCCCTAAAAGGGTTCTCAGAGTATCAGCCTAGAAGAGCAGCTAATGTCAACCGAGGCATTTTGGATTCTCTGGAACCAGCTAACAACCCATAACCTCTTCACCTTCAGAAAACCTGGAAGTCATTTGGAGGTCAGAGAGCAGCCTCCTTACTTTTGATGTGATGCAAAGCTCATTTCTAAGTATATAATTCATGTATTTTATTCTAAATTTTTTCTTCCTACTCTGCTTTCTGAAATGTAAACAGAATGTGTTATGATTTGCTTACCCTCTATTCTCATTCCTGTGAGAGTTTATTTTATGGTGTTATTCTACAATAACTTTACTTCTATTCATCACTGCTCTTTAAAATGTGAACCACTTTATTATATAACAGCAGAATTCTGATTACAACAGGATATATGGGTCTTAGATTACCTCTGTGTCACTCCTTGCTCTGGGTCTACCATCACCCTTAATTAATTTTCCCTTCTGGGAGACTTCTATAAACTGGATGAAATGTAAAATAATTACAAGGCAAATATTACTGCCCTCTAGGACTATGTGATCCCCTCAAGTTGTAATTGCATTTTATGGATTATTTACTATATTTCTGGATGGTGAAATACAACACCATATATCACAAAAAGGCCTTTTTCTGGTTGAAAATGGAAACAAGACAAAAACTACAGAAGTAATAAAGTATATAGAATTGTGTTGTGTATTGTTGGAAACGGTCTTTCTGCCTCGGGACGTAGGACTCTTCGATTCCAACATCAATAACAAATACATGAGAAAAAGGATGTGCAGATATTTCATATCTGAAAATTAGATCAACTTTTCTCTTAATTTGAGCATTACCAAAAAGTGTCCATTTTCTATACATTCTCAATAATTCCTTCTTATTAAATCTTTTGCTTCTCTTGATTCTGTGTAGAAATGATTTCCTTCTGTAATATATATTTTTAGAAACTGGTAAAGCTACATATACAGAAAGGAAGAAAAACTTAAGGATATTGAGAACGGGGAGAGAACCGATTTATGGTTTTCAGGGCAGACATTCATGGAGTTTTCCTTAATATGTATTTTTAATATTTTCATGTATTACTCATATTGCACCTTCTTTCTTCAAGTTTCACAACTTCCTACATTACTCTCCCAGCCAGTGATTCTGCCTCAAATGTCAGAGGAAAAATTAAAGCTATCAGAAGCCATCATCCTGCTATTATGCCAACAAATAAGCATCGATCACCACACATTTTTGCCAATTTTCCCCCAGGAACAAGAGGAGTGAGGAATGGAGGATTCTTTTTCTTTTGAAAGAAAAATTACTCTACCTGTATTTGGGATTCTAGTGTGGGTTGTCTTTTCATTGTTGCCTCTCACTGCTGTATCTAAAAGGTTTCTTTGTTTATTGAATAATTATCATCATCTCAAAAAATGATCTATTGTCTCCATCAAAAATTAACTAACAGAAATAACAAAAATGACAAAATTATTCCCTTAACATTACATAATGCTTCTAGTCACCTCCTTTTTTTTCAGCAAAACTACACTAAAATACCTTTTCTTCCTCAATTTCCCTTCACACTGAATTCTATTATAGTCTGTCTTTCACCTACCCATTCAGACTTTGCTTGTCTTTGTCATCAAATTCCAGGAAGCCAAATCCAACCGGAAATCTTGCAATTGTATTTTATCTGACCTCTCCCCATCATCCGATCTAGTTGACTTCTTTCTGAAAGAACTTCTTCCAACATCTACGGCATCACATTCCCTAAGCTTCTATGTTTTTGCTGCTGTCTTCTCTTCTTTGAGACTACTCACGGCCATTTGCCACTCTGGGCTTGAGCTGGGTTGTTTCTGTCTTCTTGTCACACTGTCTCCCAGGGAATTTAGTTAGTCTGACCATGTGATGCCTTCTGAACTCTTATTAGAACAGTTCCACAGGCTGAATTCAAGCCCTGTCTTCCATCTGTATTCTGTCGGGAATTTATACTTCTCCGTCTTTCTGAACCTCATATTTCTAAAATGGATTGTTGATTCTCCCTTTAACCAGCCTGATAGTTCTCTCTCAGTCTTCCCCAGTTCTATCAGTGGTATTACACATACTGTTCAGCTTTTCATACCAGTAATCTGTGAGTCATTCCCAAATGCTTCATTTTGTTAACCTCTCTTCTGGTATACAGTCTATCAATAGTCCTACCGGTCCTACTACCTATATATGCTCTGCCCATGCATTTCTACCTCCACTGCCATTATCCTACCACAGACCATTACCATTGCTCTGTTCTACTGCAACAGCACGTTATCTTGTTTCTTTCTTACCACTCATGTCTTTTGCCAATATGCTTTTCATACTGTAGTCATAATGACTTTTTCCCCCAAAATATAACTGAAAACATGGCACTATCTTCCTTAAACACCTATACCGATAGCCTAGGGTGGTTAGAATAAAATTTCAAATTCTTATCAAACATACAAAAGAAAATCCCCTGATCTCTCTTACCACATGTTGAGCTCACCCTCCTGCTTGCTTAGCTTTGGCCACATGTGCCTTTTTCCCAGGTCTTGCAGACACCAAGCACTGTGTCTCTTCCTTCTTTTTTACACAGTTGTGCCTCTTGAACCTCAACACTCAAGTTTAATGGCACCACCTCAGAAGGTCTTTCCTGAAAAACTTCTGTAAAGCAGCCCTTCCAGTCTTTGCACATCCTGTCTTCCCATCCAATCTTTTTATACCCATTCCATGTCACCTCCATATGATGCTGTTTATTTTACCTGGTATTTTAAGGACAATATGTGTATTGTTCATCACATTATCGTCCATGGCCAAGGCCTTGAGTGTCTCATACATTCATCAAATGTAGTTGGCTAGGTGAATGTACAAACACTTCTATGAGGTAGTTAACATTAATAATCATCAATATAGATAAGGAAACATATTTGTCCTAAAACTTTATTTAATACTTCATTTTGCTTTTACTTCCTCATCTTTCAAGCAAAATGAATTATGATATTATTGGGAAAATAAGAAAATATTTAAAAGAATAACTGCAGAGCAATTTGTAAGATATTGCAATGGTTGAGCTCAATTGTAACTTGATATGCTGGGGAGCTGCCGAGGGGATTAATAAAGAACACTTCAGAGCGCATCTAGGTGGGTCACAGAAGCATGAACTTAAGTACTATATCTGGTCCCTGTCCTCCTCCACTCTGGCACTGTTTCCTCGCTTGGCTTCCAGGGTACCATGAAGCAAGCATCTTGTTCCTCTACATTCCTCCTCCACCATAATGTTTTTGTCTTGGAGCCAGTGGTAATGGACTGAACCTTCTGAATCTGTGAGGCTAATAAATGCTTCCTTCTTTATGTGTTTGTTGGGTATTTGGTCCCAATGACAAAAATTTGGCTGGTATAAATGTCAAGTAGAAATGAGAACAAGAAGAAAGCTTCTGAATTGATATTGTAGCCCTAAATGAAGTAAAAGGGAGCGGCCAAAATTATAACGGAACAATTTGATTTGTTTTTGGCTAGAGGTTCTTAGTAAGCTAGTATAACATATGGTGGTCTTTGTAGTTTACTAGCATTGAAGGGATCCTAGGATTTTAGTGATAACAAAGCTAGAATGACTAACTTTATAACTGGGCTTAATTTAAAAAATTAAGACAAGACAGGACTGGGTAATATTGAGCATATAGAGAGGAAGTTTTGATAAAGAATCAAAGGGATTATTAGAGAGTAAAAGAAATAAAGTAGTCAGTAACCCCAAAGTTCCAAAGTTCCTTGTCCCCCGATTTGACTAAGTTTTTAAATATATTTTAAAGTAACTTTATTTTTCAGACAATTATTTTGTTAGAGGTACAGGAAGCTTGCATTCTCACTCCTCTGCTTCTTTGTTCTTTCCACACTTGCCTGTTTTTCTCTATCTTTTACCATTATCTAGCATCTTTAGGATACTTTCCAAGACATCTCCCTCCACTGGAATAGCACACTACTTTGAGCCATAATTGCTTTTATGAAATGTACCATTTATTGATCCTTTAATTATAGAGTGCTATGACTCAAATTTTCATAGGTATTTGCTTGTGTTTTGGAAGAAATTACTAGTTCTTTGAGACCAGAGATTGTCTTATATATTTAAAATTTATATAGATAAATTTATATACTTTGTCAAGTATGTAGAGAATTTTTCAACATGGTACCGGGGATAGAACTCTTTGCTCTTGGGAGGTAGGTGTGGTGCCATTGAGCTAAATCCCTGGCCCCTCAACAATATTTTTGAAGAAGGAAAAGAGGGATAGAAAGCATAGTCAAATAAACAATCCTAATATTAACACAATCTCACACTCAGTGAGCATTTGGTTGTTACATAAAATATCATAAATAAGACAGAACAGTGTGGAATATATTTAAGCAAGAGTAGAATTAAAGTATTTATTATTCCAATTGAAATAGGCATTTAAAACTTTAAAAGGATCTGTCTGATTCAAAATCAAAACTGGAAGACTTTAATAAAAATGTTTCTTCAAATACAATATGTATTTTATATATTAAATCAAATTTGGGTTCACATAGCTAAGGGACATCCTTGACTACTTTTCTCTTTCTTTTAAAACTTTTGAGAAGCAAATACTTCAAAGCATTACATTTTGTATTACTTCTAGATAGGCAAATCTGAGCCCAGTTAATGGAAATACATTTGTCATGAATCTGACTCTAAGCTCTGTGTATTCTGTGGAAGCATGCAGTATTTTAAAGTACAAGAGAGCTGGCAAAACCATGCCTAGAGTATTTCTATAAATGACATAATCACGCAGTATTCTGAAGTAGAACATCTTTATGCCCTCAAATCATTCCTTAAAAGCACTCTTTTAAAGAATATGAGTTTTTATTTATTTGCAAGCATTTCGCCCTATGAGGGAAATGGTATTTACAAGTTTTGACCAAGTTTCAAGTAAAATCAATTTTTGAACTACTGAAAAGAAAATACATTTAAGTAAATAAAATTATCTCCTTAAAATGACACACTGTGCTATGAAGAAACAGTCCTTATAAACCTATAGTATGGAAACAAACCTATAGTATGTCAAATTTTAGTTTCTATCACTGAACAGTGAGGAATGTTCTAGCAGAAGATACTTCTTACATATCCTGTGTTTTTGATATTTTAAACATTATATGTTTCAGATGGTGAATCTTGGTTGTTTTCTTAGGAATTAAGTAGAGGAAAATTGTCATACACAGAATTTTAAATGGGAGAAAAGTGAAAAGAAATGTATTAAGTTCTGTGTACCCATTGAAATGGAAATAAAGGGATATTTTGAAAAATTATTCTACTGTCATCCAGTATGCAACTGATTAAATAGGAAAGAAACAATTATGGAATGTCAAGTTTTCAGTTATAATAATGCAAAATACCTCGCAAGGAAGTATAATTTCAGAATGATATTTGAAAGACATGGCTTTTTGATAAGTATTCAAATTTCTTCTTTGATAAGCTATCATTTGTTAACGCAATTCCTGATGGGAAAAGTCCTCCTCGTTTTGGAACAGTTTGTGGACAGCACTGTGGGAAGGAACTTAGGATGCACCAAGGCTGTGTTGGGGCACACTTACTTCACAGGAGGAGCCACTGTACCCTGGTGGACACTGGCAAACTTCCACCGCAGTGGCCACACTTCCATCGGTCGGATAGGGGACAGCGGACTCAAGGCCAACATCGCTCAACCTACGAGGAGGGGAATAGGGACAGTGAGGCAATAGCCCAAACTTTACAGTGCTACAGGGAAGGTAGAGCAACCGTGATGTACACCCTGAGCCAGCTATCCACACGGAGAAGGAAGTCTCACGGAAATCCATCCTGTGACTATCACTCATTATACGGTCAGCCCTTGCAATCCTCGGGTTCCACACCATTGGATTCAGGGAACCGTGGGTTGAAAGTATTTAGGGGTAAATTTGTATCCGTACTGAACATATATAGTCCTGTTTTCACTGCTCACTAACCAATATAGAATAACAACAATTTCCAAAGCATGCACATTGGATTGGGTATCAAAAGATAACTCAGAGTCCGTGAGAAGATTGCAGAGCTTGAATTCAAATGCTACACCATTTAAGGGTTGTGGGTCTGTGCGTTGGGTATCCACAGGAGTCCTGGACTCATGCCCTAAGTGTGTTGAGTGAAAGTTGTATTCAGGGAGATCTGCTCATTTAGAAGTGCTGACTTCACCACCATATAAATACTGCAAATATATGAGAATGTTCTTCCTCATTTCCTGGTTTCTAGCAATGTGTTTTAACTTTTGGTTTGGAGGGATAGAGTTTGAAGCCATATCATTGAAAGAATTTTTAAAAAGCAAATATTTTCCTGACTGCTTACTTTAACATGTAAGTTCAAAAAAGCAGAAGGTGACAATATGTGGTATGGTCAAACAATGCAGTAAATATTTAAATTTTTTAAAAGTAATTACAGTAAAAGACATATTAGTCCTCCTCAAAATACTCTCCCTCCCTTCAGTTACAGTTAACCCATCATTCTTGGGACTTTCTGAAGCAGATCTGGAGATCCTCTTTTTGTGAGTGTCTGATTTTGTTGTTGTCTGCCTTGATGACCTAAACCAATTTAAAAAGTTGACCTGTTGTGATGATATTGACTTTGCAGAAGAGCTAGAAATTGCACAGTGCCAGATCCAATGAATAAGGCGGATGAGCACACACTAATGCTTTTATGAGCTGCCTTTCTGTTGGATGGAACATGGCAGCAACATTCATAGTTTCCATCACACTTCATAAAAGTACTCATGAAATGGGGAACATCTAGAATTGCTTCAGAAAGTGGCAAAAATAATGGGGTAAGTGTGTTCAAAGTGAGGCAGAGTACTTTGAGAGACATTAATTACAAGGTGTCTTTTAATGTAATATTTTTATTTAAACACACACCATAATTTTTGATCAGTCCTTGTATTAATAAAAGTCTCAGGTTTTAAATTGAAATAAAGGATGGAAGTAATTCCGGTTTCCTTTCCCAGAGATAAATCTGCCTGTTGGTAGTAAGTATAAGTGGAACTTTCCCAAATACTCGTTTGAATTAGTTAGAACTATTTCCTTAAATTGTTTTTGGCCTAAATTAAATCATTATTTCCTATATGTATGGGCTTCATTTTATTAGTACTTCTGTACCATCTGGTGATTTTACCAGAGTGATTTAGCGTCACTTATTATTTTAGAGAAACGCTGAATTGACCAAATTGCAAATTAAAAAAAATTCTATTTGCATAATTGATGCATACAAATAAATACATATTTCTTTCATTAATATACATTCAAAATTTTTAAAAATATGATCAGTTTCTTACTGGCTTTTCTGCATTTTTATAAAAGAGCATGTAAAAAGCTTCTTTTTTTTTTTGGTACTAGGGATCGAACTTGGGTCCTTGCACTTGCACAGCAGGCAGCAAAACCACTGAGCTAAGTCCCCGGCCCAAAAAGCTTCATTGTTAAGAACACAGTCTTAACTGGATAGTACTTTAGGATATGTATTAGTTCATATATCAAGACGTGTAAAGGAATCTAAATTAAAATCTTAGAACAGAGTCAATTGACCATGATTCTCACCCTGACTCTGAGATTTATTAGCCTTGTGGCTTAGGAAAAAGTATTTATTCTGTTGAGGGCTCTATGTTCACATCTCCACAATGAGGATAATATAATAGTCCACACACCATGACCTTGGTTAAATAAAATAATAAATATAAAGCTCTTAGTAGAATTCACCTGAATGTATCATGACATCTAACTACCTGGAATTACTGGACTGTCAAATGTATAATATCTTATTCTGACCATTAACTGCACAATTGGATTATTTCACTGTTGATGTATTAGTTGATTATTATACAAGAGATTGTTATGGTTTAGTAAATAGCAAATTGATAATTATATAATAAAGTCCAAGGATTTACAATATAAAATTGATATAAAAACTTAAAGGAAATGCATTGGAAGTTTCAAAATAGATGAATAAATAACTGATTACTTTAAGGAACAATTTTAAAAATAAAGATACAAAGCAAAAATATTTTCAGTGAACTGCCAAGTTTCATTTGTGTTTTGAACAGATGTTCCTCTCCTCAATCCGTGTAACCATTCTGAGTTGTGAGAAATTTCAACACTGAAACATCTTTCCCAGTAATATTCCATTTAGCATTCACTGAACAGACCCAATGTTCATTAGGGTTTGCTATTTGTTAGATGGGATTTTAATGTGTTTAACAGTTTTAAGTGTTACTCATGGAGAAGGCTGCAGTTTATTTTTTTTCCTTTAATATGGTCATTTACTTTTCTCAACACCAGGCTGCATTCATTTGAATACAAATGTTAGCAGTAATACAGTACTAAAGTTTGGAGATGCATGAACTTTCAAAGACTTGTTGGCTAAGTCAAATTCCTTAGCTGTATATCTCTCCTGTTTGGTATGACTTGAAGCTACAAAGAAGGTGATGGATGACTAGAAAATATTCAGTTACATAAGCTACTATGGAAAACATTGGAATTGAATCAGAAACATTATCTTGGTGCTGTATTACTATATTTTTGTTTTACTACATTTCCCACCAGAGTTAAATATGCTACATTACACTAAAACAACATCATCTCCCACAGAATTCTGCTTTGAAACAAACAAATGAAAAAGAACATTGATCTTCTAACACTTTTAAATAATTGTGCTTTTTTAAAACCCATCTTCTTTTTTACTTTGAAGACTTCCATTTTGTTTCACTTAATAGAATATTTCTTTGGGTTTAACTACTACAAGATTTTATTGTTGTTAAAGTGCTTTCTCTTTGTCAAAACCCAAGAAGGTGATTCAGAACTTCTTACAGCCTCTGTATTGAAATTCTGCAAATTACCACTCAATTAGAGAAGTCAGATGATCTTTACTCCATTCCTAATGTGGCAACAGAATCGTTCTGAGGTCCAGCCAATGTCTGGGGGGACATTTTGGAAAGTGCAATCATCCCCTCAAAACGTATTGGAGCCCACATCAAGGAGAGAAGAAAGTGGTAGAATCTCATTCTATCGTAGCCATTTCTAAAAAATATTTTAAATGTTAACATATGAATCTATCTCTTCCTCCTTCGCCCAACTAGCATGCACTAAATACAGTCCTGTTGCCTGAGTTATTATATCACCGTTAACGTATATACCTGCCTCCCTTTCTGGACTATGCTCTCTTTGAATTCAATGATGATTTTATCCATCTTTGTGTCCTCCCTGCATAGCCCAGAACTACCACATATTAATACCTTCCACTGTTGTCTTTAGTGCAGTATAATGGGTACTTGGAAGAGCATCCCTTTAAGTATCTATAAACTCTATAAAAATCAAATTTTTACACATATTTAAGAATGAAGAACCCTATGCTCAGCACAGTACAGGGCCTTGTACGATAAAATGTTGTTAGTAAATGGTGCAGCCTGCATTCAAACCAAAGTGTGACTCCAGAACCAGCCGCTGCTCTTGTCGTCCAGCACTGCCTCTCGGTGCACGGCAGACAGCACATCAGGTGTTTTGCAGGCACTGTTTTCTCACTTCGTGTTCAATCGTGAGAGTTAGTTGTTATTTTCCTGCCATTTTACAGGAGAGAGAACTGAGATTTTCACAGATATATGTGGAAGGTGCTCAATAAATGTTTGCAGACTGAGCGAATCCAACATTTCCTGGACAGTATTGGGAGGGAGTCAAAGATGATGGTGAGAAAACACATGAAGCGACTACTGCTTTCACCACCACCTCAGCGCAAGCTGAGCTGTACAAATCTTTCCAAGTCCTAGGACCCTTATCAGCATACTCCTTTAAAATGTGGATGCCTGGATCATTAATTTTAAAGGTAGAAGCATACTATATAACTATAAATATCATTTCTATAATCCAGGTTGCTTTTGTTTACAATAATTTTCTAGATTATTTATAATATAAATTCTGTCCACCAGTTTTCAAGATAAAACCCTAAATTCACTCTGCAAGTCATGTGAAAAGATCTTCCCTTTAAAAGAATCTGTAGTTTCAAGCAATAAAGACATGACTTGTGTCATGATAAAGTCATGATGGGTTCAGTCACGTTGTGATAACAACTCAGATTCCCAGAAGGAATCCAGGCCCAGTGAGGACTTTGCAAGAGTAAAACTTTGTTCAGCAACCAGAAGATCAGAACAGCCAGGGCAGCTGACCTCCATGTGCTGTCAGTATTCTGAGCTGTTTGATCGTCCAGTTGGCAAATAAGCTCCAGAGAGTCACACATGGGCACATTGTAATGTTCCTCCCCAGAAAGAATAACAATGCGGACATATCATTGGTCACATCTGCCAGTAAGGAGATGCAATAGTCCCAGAGGAGGAGACTGGAAATTATGGGGAACTGTAACAATGTCTACTGTAGAGTGGAAAAAATGTTGACAGAATTAGGTTAGGTTGATTTCTCTTATATTCTTCAAAAAACAGAATGAAACATTTTCCCTTTTTCTAAATGTCTACCTCTTACTAGGGAAGACAATGAGAAGGAAATCAATTCATTTCATTGAATGGGTCTTTAGCATTCTGGACAAGAATGATAGAAGAACTGCCAGAATTTTGCAAATATCAATATATACCTTATTCTAGATGTTTCCAAGTATTATGGTACTTGGAGAAAATGTTAGCCCTTGGAAAGAGATAGGGCAGCTAGAAATACTTCGGATTTGCTTGCTAATTTGCTATTTGCAAAGTGCTTTAGCAGCTAATTCCATTCTTACATTGACCTGTTGAAGTTGGCAGGGCAATTGTCATCCTTATTTTAGAGGTGAAGCTACTGAACTACAAAGAGGTCAAGGCCATACTTATATTTGCAACTACTAAATAGCTCAGTTGGAAAAAAAGTCAAAATCCTTGACCTGCAGACCAGTTTTCCCTCTACTTCACAATTCCACCTAGCTACAGAACTGGGCAAGCTCCTTGCTCCATTTGCTGAGAGAATTACCATGGAAGTAAATTGCCCCTAAATATAAACATGATTTTTTGTTGTGATAGCTTCAATTTACTAGTGTTTGCACACAAACAGTATACCAAGTCAAGAGCCTACTGTGCAAGAAAAGCTGAAATCAGTTCAAGTGATGCTTTACAAATATGACTCTATCTACTAGCAGATGAGAGATAAATAAAATATAACAAGCCTACTGGCTTGGGTTTCATACTGACTTTCAGCTCACCTGAAGTGGGTCAGAGCTTCAGATCCGACACTGACTTTTACTGCTTGAACTAAAATGCTTTAGTGATGGAGGTGGCAGAAACCAGTCACCTACGTATGCCAGTTGCTGTGTCAGCTCTGTTCACATAGCTATGTTCCCTGAATGCATCCCTCATGTAAGGGAAGATTTCAGAGGGCTTCTAATAAAGCTGGTGATTTTAAGACAAGCAGACACTGAAATTGTTTGATATAAATCAAGGGGAAGTGTCTTTGGATTAGCTAGCTTGAGAAGCAATCCTGAAAAAAATAAACAAGTCCCCTAGCCACTTTTGTCAATTTGGTTGTCATTCATTTTGAAAGCTAGAGGACTCACCTCTTTGTACTGCTGAAACATCATGATAATCTGTTTACTAAATGGGAAAAAAACATCATTAATTCCTAAGTGCTGCTTCTCATCTTTACAGCACTTTGACCCAGCTTTAGCAGAATTGCCCATGCAAAAGAGGTACATTGTTTGGCAATGATTTTGTTTATGAATCTGCAGTTCCTTCCCTTGGGAAATGGTAATGATGATTATACTTTGTTAAAATATTGTAAGTGAAAGACAAACTAGGCAGAACAAGCAAATAATGGGGGGGGGGTACAAGAAAAAAAATCCAATACCAGACGTAGTGCTTTGATTAAGGATATACTAGTGTCAGTGTGGGACCAAACACTTGATTATTTAACTTAATCTGATTTAGAAAGGAAGTTTCCACCATATATTTTGTTATTTGTTATTTGGATAAAAGGAAAAGGAAAAGAATTCATTGAGATATAGTTGAAGTTAGAATTTCGTCAGACAAAATATCACAGTTTTAAAATTGGAAAATTTAGCAGCCTACACTCTGATAAGGTGATGTTTGGTTCAAGTAAGAGAATTCTCTCTTTCAAGGAAAAAATATATGGAGAACAAGAAGCAACTAACCGCTGAAAGTATTGCAGGTAATGAACACCGTATACAATTACCACACATAATTCTCACAACAATCATGAAAAGTAGGCAGTATTACCTGCGCATTATACTTAAAATCAAAGTTCCACACACACCAATCACTTGACAAAGGTCACACAGAAAATAAGCAATGGAGCTTACTGAAGTCCTACTCAGTTCGGCTCCCAAGCCAAGTCTTTCTTTACCACATAGCCATTGTAGTCTCACAGCATTTTGTAAAGAGATGTGTGGTTATTAAAATGATGAGGCTTACATTCTTATTACAATCTGTGTACTATTCTTTAAGCCAGAAATTAATTGAGAGAAAATATTTTACATACCATTTCTGATTACAATTACCCTGAAATTATGTCTCTTCAGTTTTCCCCTCTCTGAGCCATTATAAAAGAGACTTTATTTTCCAGGATAGCATTTCTCAATATGAGAATCATTATTTATCACATGTTCTGATAGAACTCCAAAGGAATCATCAATAATAATAAGACCCGAGACATATTTATTCTGGGTATTTAACATTTTGAAGGGTTTAATTGGAACACCTTTCAGAAAACCAGTGCTTATGTTTATCTTCTATCTGAAGCAATACACCTAGAGACTTCCCTCTTCTGGCTCAGGGATTATTTGTCCCAAGGCAAATGTGCAATCATTGGGAGATGCAGTTCCTGATTTTACCTGAAGATGGCATCCATCCCAAAGCTGTAAGTGATTTGTATGAGGACTCTCTTCAGATTCGCAAGCACTGTCATAAAATCTTTTCTACTGACTGGGAAATTTGTGCCATGTATAGTAAATGCGTCTTCTTTAAGCAACAAGACATTAATATATTCTTCAGATGGCTGTAGATACACCTCCTCTTGGGCCGTGCTGATTCTCAAGTCATTTCCCTAAAAGGAGAAAAGAAAATGTAGAAGGGTGAAACTGCAAGAGGGCCTCAAAAGGTAAAAAAAAAATCTGTATTTGGATCCCCACCCTGTGGATTATCCTTGGGAGGTTTTTAATTTCAGGTGGCTTTCCCGTCATTCGGCGTATTTCTGCCACACATAAAGAAAAGGTGACACAATCTAAATATTAGCCTTTCCAGAGTCACTGCAAAGTACAAGCTTCTTGGTTTTGCATGATGCTACTTCTCACATTAAGCAAAATTATAGTTACCTGGCAATGTGTATACAAATATGTGGTTACCAATACCTTAATTTTACACACATACACAAAGTTATACATTTCATATATGTTATTTTAGGGTGGGTCTGGGCTTTAGAAAACAATAGGGAAGGAAAATGTAATGAAGTTATTATTTTAAAGGACTACATAAGGGAGAAAAAACAAGAAAAAGGTCCACAGTCTAGTCTTTACAATGAGATAGACGTATCATAAGGAGTATAGAGATTGAACTATGACAGTTGACATTGTTGGTTAATTCACATTAATGATATATAATTCCTCAAGATATAGATATAGATATGTAAGATAGAAATGTAGATATGTGTACCTGTTTATATGTGTGTGACCATGTATAGATATTTATATCTATATTGGTATCTGCATCTATTCCAGACCACATCATCTAATTCAGGAAAATATGCATTATGAGAAAAGGATCTTGTCACTCATTCACATGTATGAAATGTTTCAGACACTGGACTCCAGAGCCTGGTGCTACATCAACATCTCCCAGTTTAGAGCACGAACGTGCATGCCTCTGGGTGCCCGTGAATGCATGTGACTGTTTGGGTGAGGGGGTGCATCACTGGAAAGAAAGGGTGTAAGACAGGATGGGAGGAGAGCCTATAAGATTGCCCTAGGCTTCCAGGATTTTGGAAATCCAGAAAGTAGTTTCTCCTAAATATCTTCCTTACCTAAATGAGAATTTTGAAGTTAAGATTTAACTAAATGAGCAAGTTTCATTTATCATCTACTTCTGTCAAAGAAGAAGACAATAAAAGCTATGTAGAAACAAAGGAAGGAAAAAGTACAACTGTATAAATCAGCATTCACTGACGTAAGTTCATTGTACTTCTTGGAGATATGATCATCTTGCATTAACTTTAAATGTAAGTCTGGTAGAAGGATCTTCTTTATTTTTAGAAGCTAATGAATGCACATAGTTTTCCAGATATAACACAGGAGTGGCTTAAAAGATTCTAAGGAAAAGTTTTCCTGTTTTAATATGTAGAATATTGTCAAAGTACACACTTAATGAATGTCATGGGTAGCCTCAAGTGATATAAAGATGTAATCGAGGTGAAAGTGATGTTCTCAGTACTCTACCTCTAAGATAATCATCAGCTGGAGAACATTTTCTGTATCTTGCTCCTCCTCTTCGAGGTCATAGGAGATGGTAAATGTCAATTGTCCTCCTACTGCAGAGAGCTATAAGTGAAGAGTTGCATAATCATTATGGCGCAGGAGATGGGCTATTAAATCATACTTTACTTATTATTTTAGAATTATTACATTGTTCTAGAGGGCAGTATTTGGGAGAAGCAGAAACCACTGGAGTACAGAGTGAGCATGATAGACACTTCTTTAGGAGTAACCTTTATACAAACCTTGCTCATCAGCTGCAAGCCTGACATAAATATAAATTCATGTATTATTTTCCCAAGTTTTGCAGGCCTGCTGAAGTCGATTACATTCCACATAACCAAATAGACCCCCACCTGTCATCATCATAGTCTGCAGTTTGAGCTTTACCGTTCCCAAACAGAGAAGGATTGTTGTCAAAATTGGGAGATTTCTATCTCCCTGAGGGTCACTTACTTTCTAGGGGCCTGAGCAGATTCAACAAAGACATCCTTCCTCTTGAAAGGAATACATACAACCTAAGCTAAGCTGGGGAACGTTGGTCAAAGAAAAATAAAAAGGTAACAGCAAAATTATGTTAGATTTAATTAAAGTTGACTAGAAAAGTATAGTTTTCTCTGAGCAATCAATTAAGCACAATTCGGATGAATGCTGTTATCCCCTTTGCATTAAGGGACATTCTTTCCTTCCAACAAGCATGCCAAGCTCCATACAATGCATTCTTAAAGTATACATTTTCTGACATTGATGCTAACCTTGTAGGAGTAGAAAAAAAATCAGGGATGCAAGATCATTTATAAGGGCAGGAAACAAAACTGGAACTGTGAGTGACAGATACAATGCAAATGCTGCAATCCTTTTACTTTTTTTTTTTTTAATCCACTACAGCATTGTAAATAATGACATTCACAAAGCAAAGCTGATGATTTGTATTCTGCTGTTTGCTCTGTGCTGACATGCAGAGACCCAGCTTTGCAGCTATCTGCACTGGGTGGCTTTTCAGGGAGGACCCTGACCAGAAAGCTTTTCCCGCCACGCCGAGACGCCCTGGATGGAGGAGGAGGAGCCCAGATTCCTACCGGGTTGCTCCACAGGGACTGCACAGGCTTGCCATGGCTGATTAAACAGGATTTTGAATAGCGGCTCTGAGATGTCTTCTAAGAGCTCATTACATAGTGCTCTAGAAGGAATTGAAATTCAGGAAACTTTTATTCCGCTGCTCCATTGAGAAATGGCCCTACTCTAATGCCTTTTCATATAAAAAATAATAAATATGTGCCAGGGCTATAGCACTTGGCATTATTGTGAGCAATGCGGGGTGAATCTATATGAAAGGTTTTGGGTTCTATTAAGCATCCAAAATTTCACATAGCATGCTTGTTCAAATCAGCCAGACATTTTCTCAACAATAGGAGCCTGAAAAGGCAGCAGAAGAAAAAGGTTTTATATGTTTCATAGAGGACTGCATTATTTAGAATTTTCTAAATTAACAAAACTATTCATTAGGAGGGTAGATAGTGAGTTTGGGAAGAACATTTGGACATAGGTCTATAACATTCCAAAGCTTTTTTTAGCATCCAAATGCATTTTTATTATTTAGCATTTGGATCATATTATTATTTCTTGAATACACTTATTTAAAAAGGAGAAAAATAATAAACTATTTTTTTAAATTACCATATATGCCAAATATAAGGATTTGGAAGTAAAGCTAATGTTCCATTTTGCCAATAAGGTCCCGAAGTCTGTATAAGTTGAACATTCAAGGTTTTATCACCATAAATGAAGTAGAAAAATGGTCACATACACCATTTGATTGGTTAATGTAGCTTCTATGCCTATTTATGATACTTATAAAGTCACATAATAAATAATACGGGAGAAGAATGAGAGGTAGGAATGGAGGAAAAACACCAAATATATAGAGAAGAGAGGAACTTATTCAGGTCAGTGATCATATAAAACATAAACTAAGGAATAGAACTAATTCACATTTGTCTATGAGGGCTAATAATACCACTACTAATAGTGCAAACTTATGTTTATGTTTTCATTCACAATTTATGGACTTTTTCTAAACTATTTCTGCATCTCTGATACCCATACTTAGACAATACTAGAAAGCCTTTGAAACACCTGAGTTTTTTCATGAGTAAATCCATTTTCTTTCTCCTAAGTTGTGTGAAAAACAGACCATTTTAAATACGTGGTCAGATGTTTCACCTGAGCCACAAGTTCCTGTTTACACAATGTGAGAGTCATCGTCTTCATCATTTATACGAAAGGTGTATATTTATACTCACATCTCTATCACTACCAAGCCAATGACTGATTTCAGTAATTTTTCAAAAAGGTTGCTTAAGATGTCATCCTACAGTTTAGGGGTTGCACGCACAGGAATAACTTATTCTCTGCTGAACTACTGTGTTTCTGTTTTCCCTTCATCTCTCTAAAGGGATCTCTTCATAAGCCACAACATCCACCATTTCCTATTGTTGTTTCCAGTAAATTGTCTTCCTCAGAAGTCAGTACCATTGTATAGGAGATACTGCAATGAGTCAGGTGTAGGACAACAACCTCTCTTCTGAGGGATATCGCTTGTTGGGAGAAAAGCTCTGAGAATATTCAGAGTATAAGTGGTCCTTACCTAACTGTAAATGAAGAATTCTCTACCAGTTTTGCACCTCATTTCCTCCATAATCCAGACGTTGCATTTGTTTGGCTCCTCCCTGTGCCTGCTTTCATGGTGTCTCATAAACACGCCCTTCAGTGTTCCAACCTTTGCTCCCTCCATCAAATCGTATGTGTACAGAGTATAAAATCAGTCATCAGCGGACTTTGCTGCCTTCCCTAGTGATTATCTATGACTATTGAATAGTCAGATTTTGAAATATATAGGACACTGCATTTTCTATCTACCTATCTATCTACCCTAACATCTATTTTTCTATCATATCTTGTTTTGTCTCCTGCACCCTGTTGTCTATCCTTAGTACGCCAATAAAAGTGTTTCTTGAAATGGCATTTACAAACTCTACATAGCAATCACTAATAATCCTTTTTACTTTTAATTGAATAATAATGCTTGTACATATACAGAGAGTACAGTGTCATGTTTAGATCCATGTAGATATTGTGTAATCAAATCAGGGTACTTAGCGTATCCATGGCCTCATGTATCTATCAGTTCTTCATGATGAGAATATTCAAATCTTCTCTTCTAATTTTGAAGTATTCAATACCGTAAGTTGACAATAGTCTACTGTGCAACAGAACACAAGAGTTTATTGTTCTTTTCTAAAAATGACTTTGTACCCATTGACTTATCTCTCTATATACCTCCCTCCTACTCTTTGAAGCCTCTGGTAACCATTACTATATTTTCCCCCTCTATGAGATCAGTTTATTTAGGTTCCACAAAAATGAGAAGATATGGTACTTGTCTTTCTGTGCCTGGTTTATTTCACTTAACATAAATATCTTCCAGTTTTATCAATGGAAAATCAAATAATGGGATTTAATTCTTTCATGACTGAGTGTGTTGTGTCTAGGTACCACATTTCAGCCATTCATCTTTGATGGACATGCCACCTGATTCCATATCTCAGGTGAATAGATCTGCAATAAACATGAGAACACAGATAGTTCTTCAAAATGTAGGTTTCATTTCTTTTAAATATATACCCAACTCTGGCATTGCTGGATCATAATGTAGTTCTGTTTTTTAATTTTAAAGAAACCTCCTTGCTGCTTTCCCAAATGACTATTCTAATTTCCTTTATGAACAGCCATGCATGACAGTATTCTTCTCCACATCCAAGTCAACATCTGTTGTTGTCCTTTTGATAGTAGCCATTCTAACTGGGGAAAGTAATATATCTCATTGTAGTTTTCATTTACGTTTTCTTAATAGTTAGTCATGTTGAACATTTTTTGTGTACTTACTGGCCCTTTACATGTCCTCTTGTAGGAATGTCAATTCAACTTTCTTGTTCATTTTTAATTGGATTATTGGCTGTTATTGCTTTTCATTGATTTGAGTTCTTTATATATTTTGAATATTAAGTCCATGCCATATGCATAACTTAGAAATATTTTCTCCTACTCAATAGGTTTTCTATTAACTTGCTTTCTTTGCTGAGCAGAAACTTTTTAGCTTGATATAATCCCATTTGTCTATTTTTGCCTTTTTTGCCTGTGCCTTTTAGGTCTTATTAAAACAAACACACACACAAACAAAAAACTTTGTGTAGACTAACATCACGGAGCATGTTCCTGCTTTTTCTCTAGTAGTTTTATCATCCTCGGTCTTACATTTAAATCTTTTTTTTATTTTGAGTCAACTTTTATATAATGTGAGCGATACAACTTTATTCCTTTGCATGTGGATATCCAGATTTCCTACAGCTGGTAGAGAGACTGTCCTTTCTTCATTGTGTATTATTGTTTAGATCTAAAATGTACCTTAAAATTCTCTTGTTCAGAGGTGGGACTTTTGGAAGGTAGTTGGATTACGGGGACCCTGTTCTCATCAGTGGACTAGTCCATTGATGAGGTCATAGCAGACAGTGCTGTTCAGAAGTGGGGCTTTTGGACGGTTAGTTCATTTGGCAGTGACCTGGAATGATATATTGTTGTCCATGGCTCCTCCCTTCCCTTTCTGCTTCCTAGCTATCATGGGGCAGGCAGCTTTTCTCTGCCATGTTTCTCCACTATGCCATTTCTGGCTTGGATCTACCCAACTTTGGAATGATCCCACTTAAATTATTTGCTCTGCCACACCCATCTGCCTTGATGTTTCTATCTTGGAGCAAGCTGACTGCAAATTGAACCCTCCAAAACCATGAGCCAAAACAAAATGTTCCTTCTTTAAGTTGGAGGTGTTAGGTATTTTGGGCTAGTGTGTTCTGTTTCAATTAGTTACTTCTTTAAAAATCCCATTTCCAAACAGACATATTCTAAAGTAATAGATTTTAGGACTTCAACATATGAATCTTGGGAGGACACAACTGAATCTGTAAGAGTTCCATACTAAAATGGTTGTCCAATAATGCCTCAAATAGCCA